AGCCAAAACAATCTTGAAAAAGAACAAAGGAGGAAATGGGGAGTTATTGCTGCTTGATGGGTACACACTTATTATTTGCAGTGATGAAAATGTTTTGGAAATACTGTTGGTGGTTGTATAACATTGTGCCACTGAATTAATGCCACTGAACTGTACACTTAAAATGGCAAAAATGGCAAATTTTATGTTATATGTATTTTGCCACAATAAAAAAGTTTTTAAATATTCAGCCTGGGCTCAGGGAGAGGATCAGGGTCCAAAGTCCAGGTCAAGAGTAGAGTAGAGCTGGGTCTAGGGACAAGCCAGCTCTGGATTTGAGTCAGACTCCAGGAATTAAAGATAGAATTGAGGGCCGGCCGAGTGGCTCAGTTGGTTAAGAGCTCGCTCAAGAGTTTGAGCTCTGAGCAACAGCAGTTCAATTTCCGGCCCGAGCTGAGCAGCCGCTGAGCTGCCAACAGGTGGCAGGATGGTTCAGCTTAAAAAGAAAAAAAAAGATAGAATTGATTAGGTTGGGATCAAGAATCATGCTGGGGTCAAGGGTCAGGCTGAGATAAAGAGTCGTGCGAGTGTCAGATCTTCTGGTAAGATGGCAGAATAGACAGACGCTGTTCCGACTGCCTCCCAGGATCACACCAAAATTACAAATAATTTATAAGATATTCAACCTCGGAAGTTCCCTGGACACTAGATGAACAGAACCTCTAAACGAAGGACTTAAAGAGGAGGCCACGTCGAGTTTGGTAGGAGGGGCAGAGATGAGAGAGGGTGAACCCCGTGAGGGACATCTCAGCAGTTAGGGAGGCTTCTCTGGTTGGGGGAGAGACTCTCTGGCCCCACACTGCGCTCACCAGCCCAGAGTTACTTTGCCGGGAAGAGGAGTTCTACGATAGCTGGAAGTAGAAAATAGTGAGGACTCTCTTTGCTCAACTCGGTGAGGCTGAGGGCAGCTGGTGAACCAGTGGAGCCGGCAAACTGACTCGCTTGCTGGTGAGCACTCACCTGGTTCCTGGTGGAGGCAGTAGCTTTGTGAGTGGGGGCCAGGAGCCTGCGGGAAGCACTGAATTGAGTGCCTTTGGCACAGGAGCTATAGGTTTTTGGGACCATTGTCCCCCTGGTGTGGAGCTTGCACACGAGTAGAACACAGAAGGGCGCCATTTTTTCAGGGCTGGGCCCTCACACAGAGGCTCAGGTCTGGGACTGCATTGGTCTGCTGGAATTGGCGCAGGACTGCGTCTGTGCGTGCGTGCGTGCGTGCGTGCATGTGCATGCGGCCTTGGATCCCCACCCTCCACACTGCTCATGCTGCGTAGCCAGGAAAACACCTGGCAGGCACGCTCCGACTCTAACAGACTGCTTATTGAGACCCGGGAGTGTGCAACTGGCCTTAGGTCCATGATTTCCGCATTGCGCATGCAGAGTTGCCTGGGTGGCAATTGGCTGTCGGGCTGCTCTGTGAGCGGCAGATTGGGACAGGCTGAGATTGGGAGTTTTCCTGGGAGTGTAGAGCCATGAGCTGTGCACCTGCGTGATTCAGCCGGGGCTTTCCTGGCAAGTTTGTGTGGGCTGGCTGCCGATGCAGGAGTGCATGCTGTTCTGACTTGGTGGGGGCCACCGACCACATCCTGTGGGGCCTGCCCCGCCCACCTAGAGCTCTGTTGCCAGGGGCACCCTGAGCCCCTGGTCCCTGGCCCCTACTTCCGCAGGCCACAGAGGGTTTCTTGCAGCAGCAGACAGCCCACAACAACCTGTGAGGATTTTTTATGGTAAGCACGGTTCCAGAGCACACAGCAACTAATTGTGGGAAGCTCACTTCAAGTCTAGAGGGAGGTCGGCACCTGAC